ACCCAGCAAGTTGATCAAGTGGGTGATCGACCCAGCAAGTTGATCAAGTGGGGGATCGACCCAGCAAGTCGATCAAGTGGGGGATCGACCCAGCAAGTCGATCAAGGGGGGGATCGACCCAGCAAGTCGAGCAAATGGAGGATCGACCCAGCAAGTCGATCAAGTGGGGAATCGACACAGCAAGTCGATCAACTAAGAGAACGACCCAGCAAGTCGATCAAGTGGGGGATCGACAGAGCAAGTCGATTATGTGGGGAATCGACACAGCAAGTCGATCAAGTGAGGGATCGACCCAGCAAGTCGATTAAGTGGGTATCGACCCAGCAAGTCGATAAAGTAGGGGATCGACCCAGCAAGTCGATCAAGTGGTGGGACCGACCCAGCAAGTCGATCAAGTGGGATATCAACCCAGCAAGTCGATCAATAGGGTGATCGACCCAGCAAGTCGATCAAGTGAGGGATAGACACAGCAAGTCGATGAAGTGCGAGATCAACTCTGCAAGTCGATTAAGTGCGGAATCGATTCAGCAAGTCGATCAAGTAGAGGATCGACTCTGCAAGTCGATCAAGTGTGGATCGACCAAGCAAGTTATTCAAGTGGGGAATCCACTCAGCAAGTCGATCAAGGGAGGGATCAACCCAACAAGTCGATCAAGATGGGGACCGACCCAGCAAGTCGATGAAGTGGGGGATCGACCCAGAAAGTCGATGAAGTGGGGGCTCGACCCAGCAAGTCGATCAAGTGGGGGATCGACCCAGCTAGTTGATCAAGTGGGGGATCGACCCAGCAAGTCGTTCAAGTGAGGGATCGAAACAGCAAGTCGATCAAGTGAAGGATGGACCGGGCTCTTCGATCAAGTGTATCGACCTACGTCGATCAAGTGAGGGATCGACCCAGCAAGTCGATCAAATAGGGGATCGACCCATTAAGTCGATAAATTAGGGGATCGGCCCAGCAAGTCAATCAAGTGGGGGATCGACCCGGCAAGTCGATCAACTGACGAATCCGTCCAACACGTCGATCTGACTATTCTGAGTAATATAACTATTTTGACAATTTTGATAATTGTGACTATTTTGACTATTTTGATTATTGTGACTATTTTGTCAGTCAGTCCTTCCGTCAGTTCTTCCGTAGTGTACTACCGTCAGTCCATCCTTCAGTCTGCCCGTCAGTGCGTCCGTCAGTCCGTCCGTCTGTCCGTCTGTCCGTCCGTCAGTCAGTCCGTCAGGCCGTTTGTCCGTCAGGCCAACCGTCCATCCAACAGATCGACCGTCCGTCTGTGAGTCGGACTGTCCGTCCGTCAGGCCGACTGTCCGTCCGTCAGACCGACTGTCCGTCAGTCAGGCTGACTGTCCGTCAGGCAGCCCGTCAGGCCGACCGTCCGTCCGTCGGGCTGACCGTCCGTTGTTTAAACCGACCGTCCGTCCGTGAGGCCGATCGTTAGTCCGTCAGGCTGACCGTCCATCAGGCCGGCTGTCTGTCTGTCTGTCATGAGACCGTCAGTCAGTCTGTCAGTGCGTCCGTCCGTCCGTCCGTCAGTCCGTCCGTCCGTCAGTCAGTCTGTTTGTCAGGCGGTCCGTCCATCATTCTGTCAGCCCGTTTGCAGAGCTAAAAATTAGACGTAGCACCGCTTTAACCGCCGGGCCTGGCCGTGCCACCGCGCTGTCAGAGGGACCACAACGGGCGGGTGGGTGACGCAACGGCGCAGAAGAG